CATGCAGAGCCACTGGTGGGCTCAAATCAAAGACCTTTAGTTAGAAGCTGAGCGCTCAGCCACTGTGCCACCAGGCCTCCTTATTATTATGACTAGTATCATGAGAACTGTAGCCTCGGTGCTGGGTGTGGGGGGGCTGAGGAACATCCCAAACTTACACCATGGTGCCAAGTCTAGTCATGTTCATGTCATCATCAAACTGCATTTTTCACTGTTAACAGAGAAATGAACATTTCTGGGCCATCAGCACCCATTGACATCAGTCTTAATTAAAGCACAACATTAACAACTGTGACGTGCTACAGGCCTGTACACATTAGGCATAATTCAGGAGGATGATGTCATGTTTCTCTTCTGTTATCATTTTAAACGTTTTCTCCTTCCAAGTTTGGGAAAAAGAGTTCCTAATACTGCAACTCCAGGGTCCCTTATTAGTGCCAAAGAGCAAATTTCTGGGAATTAACAAGACCCAGGCTTGGGATTCAATTTTTCATTAATCGGAATCAAATAGATGACAACTGCTTTGGTTGGTTCTTAATAGCATTTACATTATTTCCATTTTCTCCTTATCTAGCGTTGGTCTATAATGCAAGGAGAATATCAGAGTAGCACAAATATTAGAAATATCATCATACAATCATTTCTAAATGATACTTTCTGGAGATGTTCTGAGGTCTCCTCTGGGCTCAGTTGGAAATCCCAAGGAAGCCGTGATTTCCTTTCTAGAACCATTTACCTTGGAAAGGGGAAAAGAACTAGGCCCTGGTATGAGTCTTGCAAGGCTGGAGTAGCAGTAAACTGCAGGCAGAAGAAAAAAGGATGGGGTGCGTAAAAGGTGTTCAGGTAACAAAGGGCTTCTCAGAAAGGGAAAGCTGGGAACCACCTTTGGGAAAATACAGAAGGGAAAATGTTTAATCATTTGTTAGCTGATGCCTCTCAGCTAGAGCTTTTCGTTCTGCGCCAATCCAATTACGTTCCCAGGGCACTTGGAGGGGTTCCCACACTGCTATTTTTAAAACTGACAAGAAGTGGGCTTGTCCGATTGACAGTGCTGCCGTTACAAATGCGGGGTTTGCTCAGGCTCGCCCCGACTAGCCAGCTGCAAATGCTGCTGCAATAGCTGTGCTTTGTTACTCCCCTTTGAGCTTCCTCACTCACAGCCAGGCTTGGGGTGGAGGGGAAGTGTGGGGAGAAATCAGACCTTTGGGCTCACTTTTCTGTCCTGCCTGGCAACAAGAGCCAATCCCTAGATTGCATCCTATAGGGTCAGCCAAGGAGGCTGGAGACCTTCCCAAAGCCGCCAGAGACAAGACCCTCCCAAAGCTACCAAGCCCCATAAGGCACCCAGGAGTGGGGAAATGTATATAAACGGGGGTTGGGGGGGAGTCACTGATAACTACTTGACGATTCTCTGGGCAGCTGTTTTGGCAGCTCCAACTTTCCTGCACAGAAGTGCCTGCTTCCCGTGAGGACCCTGGAGTGGAGGATGCAGGGGATCAGGGTTTGCTATGCAAGTGGGGCATTAGGCTAGAGCCAGGAGACCCCAGACTGCCTTGAGAATGAGCAGCCCAGGGTAAGGAACAGATCCTGGCTCACCCAGCACCTGTGGTGGGTCTCTGTGTAACAAGTAGAAGAGACATAAATGAGTTCTGATCTCTTGCATCATATCTTAGAGGATGGGGTGAGAGGTGCAGTCCCTCCATCAGGGGAGACAAGACTTAGCTGGACAGGGGCACAGACTGAGGGCAAGCAGGGCCACCAAGAAAATCCTATTGCACACTCTGGTGGTGTAGTGCCTAAGGCATCTGACTGCTGACCAGAAGGCTGGCAGTTCAAACCCACCACCACTCCTCAGAAGGAAGACCAGGCAATCTACTTCCATAGTAATACCACCTTGGAAACCCAAGAAGGGATTACTATGAGTCAGATCAGACTCGACAGCAGTGAGTTTGGTTTGGATTTTGGCACTCTAGGAAACACCTTGTTAACAGCGGAGTGGGATGGGAGGCAGCTCATCAAGCAGCTAGAGCCCACCTGTCACAAAGTGGGCAGGATTCGTAGCTCAGTGACTGTCTCAAAGTCTAGGTGAAACTCTGTAAGACTGAGTTGAATCAACTCCTTCTGCAACACAGCAGTTGCTGTTGTTAGATGCCGACAAGCGTATTCTGACCCATGATGACCCCATGTGTGCACAGTAGAATGGCTCCATAGTGTTTTCAAGACTGTGATCTTATGGAAGCAGATCACCAGGCCTGTCTTCCAAAGTGCCTGTGGGTGGGTTTGAAATGCCAACCTTTCAGCTAGTAGTCAAAAGCATAACCATTTCCACTACCTAGGGATTACCACCATAGCAGGACAGATGCAAATTCCTAACCAGTATCTTGAGGCCAACATAGTCAATAATGAACATAAAGGAGTCACCTTCTCCGAAGAGAACAGGAGTGTGATCATCTCAATCAAAGAAATCAATCATTGCTGCAAATGAAAAAAAAAAAAAAAAAAAAACCCAATCCATTCTGCCTTGCCCAGCAACGTGCAGGAGGTGAGACGCTTCCTGTTGAGGGATGCTGACCTCGCCATCACGGCCCAGTGCAAGCCACCACCTGCCTGGCAGGGGCTGGGCAGAAAAGGCTTCCAGGTAAAGGACAAAATACTGTTCCACTCAGGTGATGCAATAGCCTATATAGCCCACCTCAAGTAGACAAACCCTACGTCCAAGTAGGCCACCCAAAATCAAGGGGCTGGTCATTGGAATAACAGAAGATTCTAAGGATAAGGCTATTGAGTCAGCCTGGGAAAGGGCTGTTTACACTGCTCTTCCAATACAAGAAATTACATTAAAGCTTTCGCTGATAAACAACACTCATTTTGACTAGAATACTCCATCAGACAACCGTCCGGAAAGCACAAAAAAAATGTCCCTATGGTGCACCCCCACCTTCCAGAATCTAACCACAGGCTGGCATTCAAAATGGGTTTAGATTTCATCAAAACAACCACAGCGCCCCTTCTGGCCTGAGACGTTCCCAGGACCAGCTGCAAAGCAAGGAGGGAGAAAGGAAGGTAAAGAGTTTGAACATGAACAGCCTCAGCAAACATAGCATCTGAGCTAGTGGATTTCTAAGACACTTGTCACCACTACACTGAAGTTGACCAGAAACATTGGGTCTGAGGCTGACAGCAAAATGCCACCAGTTGAATATAAATACAAAATAACTTCCACGTAGAATATAAAGTTCATTAAAAGATAATACCAGTATGCTAAATTGAAGCTGACAAATAAATTATTAAAACTCAAAAATAAAAGGTGAAATCCGCGAAAATTAAAGGGGGTGAGGTACTGTTCTACAATCGTCCTCATTAACTTGAAAACTTTTTAGGAGGCGGTGAGAGACAAGGTTCTGTCCCGGCTTTGGGATCGGGCAATTGGTGCGCGGGTGCCGAACGGCACCGCCAGAGAGCAGGTTAGTGTCCAGACCATGGTCGGCTTCTTCCCCAGACATTCGGCCTGTAAAGTAACTGCAGAAAACAAGAGTGTACAGAGGCAAGCGCCTGGCCCGCTCCAGCCTCCTGCCTGGCCCCAGCAGGCCCGAATCCCGCAGTACCAACGCGCGCGCCCGGGCGCCGAGAGAGCCGCGCCCGCGCCAAGCCAGAGCTTCTGACCGAAATAATTATCGTCTTACAGTAATTTGTGCCTCATAGTAAATTACTACGTGAACTCACGGAGCTAAGTACACTCACAAAGCCCAAATCCCACACGGCAATTGTTCCAAGGCCGACAGAGACCGCAGCGCACAGGCCGTTTCGGGGCCGAGGCGCAGTGTGAGCACTAGATTTCCCAGGGCCACGCTGAGAACACGGACTAGAAAGTCGCATAAAGCACCACGGACACTTGGTAAGCCGCGGTCCCCTCCGCCCCAGAGCCCCGAGAGACTCTGATCGCCGGGAGCCCCGACGTGCGAGTTCCAACTCGACGCTCGCCAAACCCCTCCCGCAGTCCCTTGGCCTGGGCCGGTCGAGCTGACGCTGCTGCTTTTTTTTTTCTCTGGAGTTGGCTCGGTAGAAGAGTCAGATAAGTGCAGTAGAACCCAAGAATCCAGCCCCACGCCCGGCAGCAGCAGGCCATGGAGACGCCCGCACTGTAGCTAGCCCCTGCTCCGCGACGCCCCTCCCGGGCAGCTGACCTGTCGTCGACGTGCAGGCTCGGAGAACACTTGATGGCCAGCCATGTCTTCCAGTGGACGTGTCGCACCTTGTACACCTGCCCAAAGCCGCCGGAGCCGACTTTCTCCCAGCCTGCGAATTCGCTCGCTTCGAAAGTGCGCAGCAGTCCCAGGGTCCACGGGCTCCCGCACTCAGCCTCCATCGCGCGCCTCTGGCCACCGCCCCGCGCCGCCGCGGCCGCCCAGGTGCCCAGGTGCCCAGGTGAGAGCCCCGCCCGCCCTCAACGTCACTTCCGCAGAGGGCCCTACCCCCGCCAACCCCGCCCCTGCTCTGCCCCAGCCAGGTCCTTTGTAGATCGAGGGATAAATTGGGCTGGACTGATAAATTGGGACAGTACGTCCTCCCCTGGGGGCTTCAGAGCCTGAGAAGGGCCTGGCGCCTGTGGGAAGCTGACTTGCCTTATATATATATGTTGTTGTTGTTGTTATGTGCCATC